CGCACCCCTCCCCCGTGACACGCGTCGTCACTGTCGTCAGTCCGTCGGAAGCTCTCGAATGACGCCGTCGTCGGATGTTTCTATTATCTAATTTGTTGTGAAAAACACTACTTATATATGAATAAATAGATATTTTTTCTTATGAATAAATAGATTAGTTTTTTTTATCAAAAAACTTTATTTATGCGAGTACTATTTATTGTTGGCAAGAAAAAATTTTGTGGCTCTTTAAAAACTGTGAAATTTTGTAAATTGTAATTTTGGCTCTTCTGACTCAAAAGGTTGCCGACCCCTGGTATAGATTATTTAAAAAAATGGGGGTCACAAAAAAATTATGAAATATTTGATGGCCGTGAATATAAAAAGGTTAAGGACCACTGGCATAGACAAATGAGACATGTCTAGGTCCAGTCAAACTGTCTATTTTGAAAAGATTTGTAAATAAGATAGTTTACTTTTCTGTTGGACAACTGTATATATAATAAACAAAAATATATTGCTTTTTATATGGTTATTGTGAATTCTAAAATCTCAAGAAAATGTATTCTTGTGTTTGTTCTTATTGAAAGTAATTCTTCCAATAATTTAGAATTTTTTTAAAGCAATAAGAATAATATTAACTACAAGACAATGAACCTGGCTTTGCCTGGGCAAAAAATAACAACAAAGGTTGAGATTATTAGATTATTTAACCAAAAAGGTTAAATTAAGCAATTAATATTTTAAGGTAATATTATTATTGTATAACTTTTGTTAGACATTTAATAAAATAAATTTCAATTTTTTTAATTTATAAACAAACTGTTCAAACTTTTCTAGAAAAACTAAAATTTATTGTTGTATATTAAATATTTTTTATTAATAAAAATTTAAGATTTGTTTTAGTTTTTCACATTATTTAGTTTTGTTTTATTTATTGTTTTATATTTTTTGTGTGCTCTATTTCTTGTGGGATAGGGAGGGGCCTGGTAAGAAGAAAATGTCTAGGGCCCCAAAGTGAGTTAATCTGACCCTGCCCATTAGCCATGGCATGTGACATCTGAAGCCACTTGTCACTGTCAACAGATGCATCTGTGTCCACTCAAACCATTCACAACAGGTTGAATGAAGTTGGGGTGTGTTATTAACCACTCTATACAATAATGCAAGTCTGGTGTGGTGTAGTTGTCATCTCAACTAGACCATTGAATGGCATTAGGTATTGATTACACTTCTGTCTGTGAATGGGTGTGGCAATATCTGGAAACACTTCATGTCAGCTCTTTTTGCTGACATGAAGTGTTTCCATTGCTGACTGGCTCTGTTATGGGCAGTATGGTTGGAGAGGCATTGTGTTCATTCAGCAGACAGCCCTAATGCATATTTTCAGTATTCTGACAGCAGACAAGTACGGTACATCATGCAAATTGAGGGGCCTGTGCTCCACCCACTGGTGCAGGTCACACCTAACATGGTGTTCCAGCAAGACAACACCTGACAGCATGTTGCATGATGAACTCTCACCAGCCTTAATGGAATTCACATCCTTCCCTGGACAGAGCCGTGCTGGATCTCTCTCCCATTGAACACCTGACATGAGGTGCACCAGGGACCACCACCACATACTATAGATGACATTTGTACCAGAGCGGATGCAGCTTGGCAAGGAATACCTCAGGCAACCATTAATCACCTCATTGATAGTATGCCTTGCCTTATAGCAGCCTGTATGGGTAGCCTGTAGCTGCCCATGGGGCTATATTCATTACTGAATAAACATGTCTGTTGCATAGCTTTGTTTGTTCTTTTAATTATTTGCATATCTCTGTCACCTCTACCAGTCCTGCAATTTGCATATGGACATACATTCCTTTTGCCTTGGACATACAGTCAACCCCCCTATAAGATCATAGATACGTTCCATTCTTTAGGAATCTGATTTCTTACGAGTCCTTCCAATAACAGCCCGACACGTGTGAAGTTTACGGACTACGGCTGATTGAAAGATTTTCTTCCATAAAATTAATCAATTCTACACTAATCCGACTCAACATTTCCAAAATACGTATATATTTTTTGGAAATAATCCGTATAAACTACGCTATAAACAAAAAATTGTAGGATTACTTACCGAGTGTGCACCATTCGACATCGCCATTGCTAAAGCTTGTTTTCGTCGCGGAACAGCTCAGCAAACAGCGGCCG